CCCCAAAACCCCAAAACCCCAAAACCCCAAAACCCCTTAATATAATATTAAAGTTGAAATAAAATTAATATGCAGGGAAGCAAAAGTTCAAACAGGAAGAGCGATAAAGGATCTAAAGGCTCTAAAAATTCCCAAAGAAAGCCAGCCCAAAAGCCTGTGGCTAAGAATAAGCCAGCTGAGCCCACTGGGAAAAATAAGAGCTTATTTGTGTACTCGAAGGAACTCCCAGAGGCTGTGATAGAGGTCCTAGATGCTATTGACGAGAACCAAACGGCTCTTAAATAAGCTTATTGGCAAAGGTATCAAGATTAACAACTTCATTGCCTTTGAGTCTAAATGTGAAGAACTCCTTGGAGTGGAAATCAACCAAATAATCGACTATTTTAGTCATAAATACGTCAAACCGAAGGATAAGTTCGTTATATCGTTTGAGGACTTCATTGACCTAACGCAAAGATGGGCTGATTCCCATCTTGTCCAAGAGCAACCATATTTTACCAATGAGGAGTCAAACCAGTTCCTGGAGGAGCAAAAACACGAAATGCAGGCTAAGAGTAGAGATAATTTAGTACTAAAACTTGACAAGCATTCTGAAAAAGTGCAAGAAATCTTTGAGAAATATGCTAGTAAAGACCAATCTGAAGAAGAGAAGGACCAAATCCCTCAACTGTCAGTCAAGCTCAAGCATATTCCTGAGATCATGGATGATCTTTCTTACCTGACCAGTATCTGAATAGTTCCGTTCCAAGACCATGTGGATGGGAAAATCTCCAAAAAGTGTTCAAAGAAGGCAGTTGATGAATTATCTCATTATTTATGGAAAAGACTACATCAGGCATCTGTGAGTAGTTTAAGGAAATCTAGCAACAAGCAGGGTATCTACAAGCATTCTCCTGACGGAAAGCAAAAACCGAAAGACCTGAGTACCAAGAGTATCAAAAGCGTTAAGAGTAAAGGTAAGCAGCATTGACATAATCTGTAGATCCGAAGCCAGATTCTTCTAAGAGAACAGTTCAGACCAAAGTTCTTAAAGATGGGAAGGAAGTCATCCAAGAAATAGAAGTGTCTGACCATGAAAACCCACTGGTCCTCTCTACAGGTAATGCAGCCCTGATAATTTCATAGGCAAATCTATAGCTTTTGAAGATGAGAGATATAACTTAGAGAAAGGAGAGTCTGAGCTGCCATACAATATGTTCCAGCATTATCTTGAAGACTTCTTCTCAAGTCACCCAGAATTCGTATTTTTGGATACAAATAATGAATTTGATTCTAAGTTTAATACCAGTGTGCCTTTTGATTCCCAAAGGACATCTTTGCAAGTCCCTGACTCAAGTAATAATGCTATTAAGAAGAAACTTGAGAGTGATATAGCCACATATGAATATTTGTTGGCTACTGACCAGTTAAAAGATCCTAACGAGAAGGAATCAGCTCAGAAATTAGTTGCAACTCTTAAAAAGCAGCTTAAGGAGCATGAGAGGCGTACTACACAGAGCATCAAAGGCTCCCATAGGACCACCCACCAGCTATCCAAAGAAGAGCTTCGTGAGAGAGGACTCAAAGAAATATTTAACTTCTATTCAAGACAACATATTCCTCAAGGTGTTCCCTTTGAGGAACTGGAAGTCATCATGAAGCAAGTAGATCTAGGGGAGTTCACCAGCTTCTGCAAAGATTTTGAAATCAACCTCCCTAGAATAGAGATAAAGAGAGCCTTCAATGCTGTCTCACTGAACCACAAAGCATTGGAGTTCGAAGGCTTTTACAAAGGCATACTTCGTATGGGAGTCATGATAAATGACTTGGAAGTGCAAAGACTTCGCAAGAAACTTGGAATCAAGCCTAAGAGCAAGAATCCTTCGAGAATAAAGAAGCATGCTGATAAATCAGAATCTGGCTCCTCTGAAAGTGGGAGTGATAGTGATGGAGGTAAAACTTAGTTGTTGACCAATCTAGATGATAGCGATGCGAGTAAAACCCAAACCACTAAGGTGAACAAAAAGTCTCGAAAAGAGTCATCTGGCGATGACTCTGGATCTGATAGTGACGATAAAAGCGAACAAAGCAAGAGGCTTAAAAACAAAAGTCGATCTACTCAGAACAGGAGCAAGATGAGTAAGAGAAGCAAGAAGAGTAGGAAATCCACTCATAACGAAGGGTCTTCTTCTTCGAGTGGAAGTGACTCAGAAGATGGTAGCAGCAAAGCCAGTAAGACAGAGATAACTGGAAAATCTAATAAAAAGCCAAAGAAAGACACCACTGAAGAGGATAAGAAAAGGTTAAAATTACTTGAAGCCAAGACAAACGAGGATCTTTTTGAAGAAATTCTTGACTTTATTCAGTGTCATGATGCCAATATTTACCGGAAGAAAATCAAAGGCTTCCGTTTGGCCTTTAACATCAGAGAAAAGACATATAGGATGCCTGACAGTACACTCTTAAGGCCAAATAAAGTACGCTCGAAACAATCAGCAGAACAATTAAAGAAAAAGGTTAAAGAGATGAAGGACAATAGATTAAGAAAGAAGCAGGCTGAAGAATTTCTCAAAGAGCAAAAGATGATCAAAAATCGTCAGACGTTAAAGAAAATGCACCAAAAGATGCTCAACAGGAAGTTTGAGCAGAACCCCATCGATGTTCAGTCAAGTTATGTGAAAAGCAGTAAGGATTTTAGTCTTAAAATATAGTGATGCAATCTAAAAAGAATACTTCAAGACATGCCCAGGTAAACCTGGGCGTGCTCAAAATGATGCATTACTCTGACTTCAACTTAGGAGATGAGGATGATTTCAGACCAGAGGACATCATTGAAGATGATGATAGTGATGACTCCATCCTTGCTCTTTATGAAAATGAACCGAAGGAAGAGATCGTAATCCCTCAGGATAAAATAACTATCAATAATGCTAACCAAATCCAGTATGACGAGAAGGTCGTTGGGCTTAAAAAGAGCATAAAGAAGCAAATAGGCACATCTAGAGAGAATAAGAAGGAATTCCTGAGTGTCAAAAATAAAGCAAATCCCAATAAATCAACTATAGCTGAGAGGTATAAAGCTGGGAGAAATTTAGCAAGTATCAGAGCTCAGGACAATGCCAATTCTTTAGCATACCAGAATGGTGCTAAGAGATTGAGACATAATAACTCAGCCTCAAAAGTGTCTCAATCTGTAGATAGACATCCCTTGACTAAACGCCCAAAGAATCAGTTGGCAAACCTGACTAGTATTCATGGTCCAGAAGTCAAAGGGACGACTAAGAATATCAAGACCAAAGTATTGCTGAACCCTCATAAGAGGAATGAAGTAGGAATATTATCCCAAAAGGCTCACTTAGGAACACACCATGCTCCAAAGCTGCATGGTCACAACAGATCCCTCTTCCTAGACCCTACACATATGGAAAGTCCGAATGAAAGAAGAATTCTGAAGCTGGTTGATAAGCAAATTGATAAGGGTCTTAGAGCAGCTAACAAGTCTAAAAATTATTATAATCATTCCTAAGTAGAATTCTAGGGGTTTTGGGGTTTTGGGGTTTTGGGGTTTTGGGG